TCTCTTAAGAAAATCCTGGATGTCCAAGACATAAACTCGCCATAAACACAAGTACAGTGAGCAGCACAGTAACAATCCAGTATTGCCTGCTGACCCCAGTACTGATTCACTCATCACAGGTCAAGCAAAGCCATATCTGGAAGTGCCTAGGAGTGCACTACACCAACTGGGGAATGCAAAGCCCAGCACTCTATTCCTCCAGTATGATCAGGAGGAGCCCTGCATCCTTCTAATGCTCATCTACTGTGCACAAGTTTCTCTGTACAGGTACTGAAAAAAAGGGAAAAAAAACAGAAAAAGAAGCTGTCACATCTCAAACAACAAACCAGACACACAGTCACACCTTTATTAATGCCCAAAAGTTCCTGGTAAGGAATGTGAACTGACACTATGGTTTGCTGCTAGTTTCACCTTCCTGTAATTCTCATCAGTAGTGAGATAAAGGGTAATCAGTCTGGAGGCTTCAAGGAGCTTCTCTGCATTTTATAACCACAACCTAACACATGGAACACAGATTGTTCAATACTCTGCTGCATTTGAAGCAAAACGCAACAACATATGGAATGATCGTAATAAAATATTTTGCTCAAACAAATCCAAACTTGGCTTTCAAATCAGTTCTTGAATCCTAGTAATCAGTTTCCAGACAGCTTATGCCAGTTCAATAAGTCATGAAAAACTGCATTCCAAGCAGAAGTATTTTTTTGCCCCACATTTCATTAAGAGACAATAAATTGAGAAGAAATGTATGTATCACTCAATTACAAAAAGCAAGCATTATCAACTAAACGTTGATTTTAACTCTGCAAACACAAACAATAAAGGGGACTTCAAAGAAAAAATACTCTGATTATTAAAACTTTATGGGGGCACAAAAAGCTATGACTTCATTGAAAAGAACTAAACTGATCCAAAAAGTCTAACTCAAACAAAAGCAAAAGGTTCCCTCCCTCCTGCCCAGGCCACTCAACCCACTCTCCCTCACATGCCAATATTATGACTTATCTGACCAGAAACCAAGGTCAGGGAGCTGAACAGGTTTTTCTGCAGCTCCAGTTTCCTGCTGTCTGCCACAGGGTCAGAGAAATTCAGGTGGAGGCACAAGAAAAGCAGAACTGGGCCACAGGATTTTTCTCTTCAGGAACTGCTGCACATCCATGTGTTTAACAGAGAGTTTGAGAATAAAGAATGTAATGTGAACATTAAGGGGCAGAAACAAAAGCAAGAGGAAGAAAAAATGCTCAGAAGGAGCCAGTTCTTTGGCACTGATATTCCAAACTCTCAGTAAGCATGGAGATGACTGGTAACTGCTCCTAATAGTGTTGCAAGCACGTGAAAAATTAGGTAGCAACAAAATTCAGTGGCGTGACCACAGCAGCCACACAGAATCCAGCACCTGCAATCACTTTAGAGAAAAGCCAGTGTTCTGTCCACAGGCACTCAAGGGCTCTCTGCAACAATAACAGCAATTTTACTTTTCATTCTTGAGGTTAAGAACAACCTTGAGCACACAAGTGTATGTTCTGGACTTTAAATTACCCAGCACTGTCAAGTTCCAAGTTAAAGTTAACCAGACTTTACCAGAGTGTTTGATGCTACAGGTACCTGTGAAGCAGGGTCTCAACTTCAGAGACTGATTAAGTCTCTTGCTTCCCACTGAAAATATCCTCCCCCCCCCATGCAGGTGATTCTGTGCTTATTTTACAGTCTAAGGTGTGGGTCAGCTATGACCTGCTATCATTAAGCAAGGGATCTTATTCCTTGCAAAACCAGCCTCAACTTCTGAGTGCTGCAAAGCACATGACAACATCTAGGACAAACACTCACCTACCAAAACATTCAAAGAAATCAGTATTTATGTAACTACTTCACCATGACTGAACATATACATCCCTTAAGTAGAGGTAGAGATACAGACAGAGACATCACAAGATACCTCACCTGTAAGATATCAGGAAAGCCAGAGGCATGGAAATCAGAGAGACTACTCAGAAGGGAAATTCTGAAGTTTTTAATTCTTCAGTTCTCATGGGTATTCTCAAGCAAATAAAGCACTAAAGATGACACACAAAGAGCTCTCATGAATTCCAGCAGCTCCCATGCAGCTTGTACAGACTGGGGAGCAGTCTCCGTTAGGGATTAGATAACGATCAGTACTGCTGGATTCTGAAATACAACACTGAGCATGGGCAGCAGAGAGTTCCACTGAGCTGCAGGCTGGGAGCAAACACCAGTGCACAGAGTAGTTAACAGCAAACACCAGTGCACAGGGCTGGTTAACAGCACACACCAGTGCACAGGGCTAGTTAACAGCACCCACCAGTGCACAGGGCTAGTTAACAGCACAGACCAGTGCACAGGGCTGGTTAACAGCACACACCAGCGCACAGAGCTGGTTAACAGCACACACCAGCGCACAGAGCTGGTTAACAGCACACACCAGTGCACAGAGCTGGTTAACAGCACACACCAGTGCACAGGGCTAGTTAACAGCACCCACCAGTCCACAGAGCTAGTTAACAGCACCCACCAGTCCACAGAGCTAGTTAACAGCACACACCAGTCCACAGGGCTAGTTAACAGCACACACCAGTGCACAGACCTAGTTAACAGCACACACCAGTGCACAGGGCTAGTTAACAGCACACACCAGTGCACAGAGTAGTTAACAGCACCCACCAGTCCACAGAGCTAGTTAACAGCACACACCAGTCCACAGAGCTAGTTAACAGCACACACCAGCGCACAGAGCTGGTTAACAGCACACACCAGTGCACAGAGCTGGTTAACAGCACACACCAGCGCACAGGGCTAGTTAACAGCACACACCAGCGCACAGAGCTGGTTAACAGCACACACCAGTGCACAGGGCTAGTTAACAGCACCCACCAGTCCACAGGGCTGGTTAACAGCACACACCAGCGCACAGAGCTAGTTAACAGCACCCACCAGTCAGTGCACAGAGCTAGTTAACAGCACCCACCAGTCCACAGAGCTAGTTAACAGCACACACCAGTGCACAGGGCTAGTTAACAGCACACACCAGTGCACAGAGCTAGTTAACAGCACACACCAGTGCACAGGGCTAGTTAACAGCACACACCAGTCAGTGCACAGGGCTAGTTAACAGCACACACCAGTCAGTGCACAGGGCTAGTTAACAGCACACACCAGTCCACAGGGCTGGTTAACAGCACAGACCAGCGCACAGAGCTAGTTAACAGCACACACCAGTGCACAGAGTAGTTAACAGCACACACCAGCGCACAGAGCTAGTTAACAGCACACACCAGTGCACAGAGCTGGTTAACAGCACACACCAGTGCACAGGGCTAGTTAACAGCACCCACCAGTCCACAGGGCTAGTTAACAGCACACACCAGTGCACAGGGCTAGTTAATAGCACCCACCAGTCAGTGCACAGAGCTAGTTAACAGCACCCACCAGTCCACAGAGCTAGTTAACAGCACACACCAGTCCACAGAGCTGGTTAACAGCACACACCAGTGCACAGGGCTAGTTAACAGCACACACCAGTGCACAGGGCTAGTTAACAGCACACAGCAGTGCACAGAGCTAGTTAACAGCACACACCAGTGCACAGGGCTAGTTAACAGCACCCACCAGTCAGTGCACAGAGCTAGTTAACAGCACCCACCAGTCCACAGAGCTAGTTAACAGCACACACCAGTCCACAGAGCTAGTTAACAGCACACACCAGTGCACAGGGCTAGTTAACAGCACACACCAGTCCACAGGGCTAGTTAACAGCACACACCAGCGCACAGAGCTGGTTAACAGCACACACCAGTGCACAGGGCTAGTTAACAGCACCCACCAGTCCACAGAGCTAGTTAACAGCACACACCAGTCCACAGAGCTAGTTAACAGCACACACCAGTGCACAGGGCTAGTTAACAGCACACACCAGTGCACAGGGCTAGTTAACAGCACCCACCAGTGCACAGGGCTAGTTAACAGCACACACCAGTCCACAGGGCTGGTTAACAGCACACACCAGCGCACAGAGCTAGTTAACAGCACACACCAGTGCACAGAGTAGTTAACAGCAAACACCAGCGCACAGAGCTAGTTAACAGCACCCACCAGTGCACAGGGCTAGTTAACAGCACCCACTAGTGCACAGAGCGGGTTAACAGCACACACCAGTGCACAGGGCTAGTTAACAGCACACACCAGCACACAGAGCTAGTTAACAGCACACACCAGTGCACAGGGCTAGTTAACAGCACACACCAGTGCACAGGGCTAGTTAACAGCATTTTTTTTCCCCTCCAGAAACAACCAAGTGCTCCCACTGAATCCAAGTTTCTGCAAATTCTGAACAAGAATAACCAAAACTTGTAAATGAAGTATTTTAACAGTGCAAGGATTAAAACCTCTTCAGAGAGCAGCTAAAACCTCCTGCAACTACACAGATATGGAAGCAGTTGCTCTGTCAGCATTTGTTTTGCTTCAAGGAAACATTAAGTTTCACAAGTCAGAACAATTCATTCCTCTCATATTTTAAAGCTACTACTACCAATCCTATTTAAGGAACTTACAAGTTAAATTCTGCAACAGTGATAAGACCTGCAGCCACTTCAGAACTCCAGCACACCTCTATTTTACTGATCAAAATCAGAACAAAAGGTTTGTTTTTATATTCAGAGCTCTGGTGGAGTCAAAAACAGACTGTAGGAAGAATAAATTAGCCAGGAACTAAATCCAAACCAGTTTGAGACCTGTCTATTAATGTTCAAATATGGGAACTGTACTTCTTAGAATTCTTAGCCATACACACAATAGTCATTAACTTAGCCTCGAGCATTCCATCCTCCCAATACCCAGTGCTGGCCTTACTGGAGCTCCAGGCAAACGTGTCAATAGTTTGATTACACACACAAATATTTAGTATTTCTAGATTAAGTTGTATTCAATCAAGTATTTGCTCACCCAGTCTAGCACAAAGTGACAATTTCTGAAACACTCAATCATACCTGCAACTTTGTCCCGAATAAGTTTTGCAGATTCCACCTCGCCGATGCTGCTGAACAGACTCCGTAATTCATCCTGTGTCATGTTCTGAGGAAGGTAGTTCACAATTAAATTTGTCCTACCAATATCATCCCTGCAATCTTCAGCCATGTGATCTTCATAACCATTGGACATTTTACAATAAATCTGCAAAGTGAAAAAAATCGTCAGTGAGGTTCAGATCTTCACATTTCCATAAACCAAACTTCCTCCACCTGAAATAAGTTTGAATGTTTATTTTAAAAACTAAGAACAAACCACTGCTTCAGTAATGCATTTTTTCAACTCAGAAAACAAAACACTATTTGTTGAAAATTCCAGAACAATTCATTCTTTCAAAAGCACAGACATGACATTTTACAGAACTATGTACCATTAAAGAGCTCTTCAGGATTTCTACTTTTTTACATTAATAAAAAGCATCAAGATAGATTTTGAAGACATTCCTGTAAACACCAAAGCATTCCCAACAGCCAAAGTAAAAATCAGGTCCCCCATGTCCAGGTACTTGACCAGCCACAACCAAACTGCCACCTCAATCTGAATTCCAACCTTACGCCCAGAACTTTTTCAGACAGGAAAACAAGAAGCAGCAAGATCTGATCCAGTTCAGTGTTTCAACTGGAGACTATTAATTTTCTGAATGTCTTCCCCTGTAAACGTTGTCCATCTTGCACCTCAAGGCCTTTTGCTGTTTAATGCTGCCTTTGGTGCTGCTCTACCATGTGTGTGAAACTGGTGAGTCTGTGCTGCACACTGACTTGGGGGCATATTGAGTGTTTGACAGTTTCTATTTTTGCAGCTTTTTAAAGAAAGCCTTGAGAAAACAGAGAATTCCTATCACAGGAAGATAAACTCTGCCTCAGTTCACCATCAGGGACTGAATCCCAATGTTTTAGTTGACCTACAACTAAAACTCACACCAGACTCAAGCTGCTCATGGCTTGCCAAAATCCTAGTTTTTAAAGCACTTCAACTACTTTGAAATAGTCAAAATCAAGATATCTAAATCCTGTTTCTGCAACAGGATCTACAGATCTGGATCTGCTAAAGGATAAGCCTTTCCAGAGACTGCATCATGACTGACAGCCAGAAGTTGAATAATGGAAGAAGTCAGAAACAGCAACCAGAAATCCTCAGTCCAGAAAGGGAATGCTCCCTGCATGAAGGGACTTCCAGGCCTCTCACCAGCAGCTGCTGTTAATTCATGTCTGACAGTGAAGGTCAAATTTTTAAACAAATACCTTGAGCACATGATTACAGAATAAACCATGAGAAGACTTCATGCTAATTTGAGATTTAACACAGTATGGATTTGAACGGAATCTTTATCTTTTCAGTATGTTTTCAAGCATTAAGAGCTGGCAGCTCTTGTTCCCCTTCACCCACAGATCAGCTTCTACCCTCATTTTTGTGTTTCAAGTGTCAACACGAGCCTATTCCAGCACCCTCTGCCCATGGGATAACCAATCTACACTGTGAAAGCAATGGAAAACCTCACAGGAGGGAAGCCCTTTCTGTTGTGTCAGCAGTTTTAATCTGCTTTCCTTGCAGCAAGATAAGCACCAGCTAATGCCACAGGATAGGAAAGCAGGAGGAGGTACTTCAAAGCTGGAAGCAGGGGAAGAGACTCCCCTCAGCAGACAATTTTTAAGCTGCCAGGTCATCTCAGTTGTACTGCAAATTCTGTCATTAAACACACGTTCCCTCCTGGCTGTGTCAGAACTTGCTGAGCACAATCTCAGAGAAGTTTCCTGTTCTGGTAAACAACACTCAAACAGCTGAACCGTCTGTGGTCACCATGTCTAAGTTATAAAACCATGCAACACACATTTTCAGAATTACTTGAATAGAAGGCAGCTTTGCTTGCCTTTGCACTCCACAAAACTCAAGCCCTACAAGCAGAACACACCAATATGTTGATGAGTGAACGTTGTATGGCACAATTAGAATATTTAGTAAGCAAAGGAAGAAATGTTGAGATTTTTCCACCTATAAGAGGAAAAAGTTAACATTTCCTTCATTTTAACCAACTTTGCCCTTTATTGCCATTTATTTATGATATAAATCCTTCCTGCTGCTGAGATTAAGAAATTGCTATAAATTCTACTGATTTCAAGAACAGATTGGGGTTTTGGGTTTTTTTTTTAATTCTCCAGGGTATATCTGCTGCCTGAAAAGGAGGCACCACAGTCAGATACCTAGCAGAGAAAACTTCCCAGCACACCAGGATGGCAAGTTACCACACTTATATCTGGCATAAAGCAGAATTGCCAAGAGTTTGGCAAGTGGCTGCTGACTTTCCATCGTTGTCCCACATCCTCTAACCCATCTGCAATACTCACAGTCTGCACCTCTAAGGATACTCAAGCAGTGCCTGGGGCAGTGCTGATTCAGAGTCATCAGAAGGTGGGAAGGAAGCTTCCACCTGCTTTTCTTCAGGCTTTTAGAAAGCAAACATAGGAAGCCCTTGCATACAGGCCTGGCAAAGGTTTCCATGGGATACCAGGAACCAAGCATGCAGAAGCAATAAAGGCACAGTGAAGAGCTAGAGGAGCAGAGCGCTGAGAGAGAAGATGCTTCTTTCTTCCTAATCTCTTGCTGAGCACTTCCACAATCAGCTGCAGGACTAACACCATCCAGCCAACCTGGAAGTTAGTGGGTACCACTTCCTCTGCTGGTGAGGTGTTAAGCAAACTCCAGCATTCCACTGGTCTGATGCCACTCTGGGGTCCCACTGTCAGCAGACTGGCACTGCTGGGATCACAGCCCCTTTGCAGCAGGGGCTCCAGTGACCCCACAGGCCCCGTGGGAGTCCCTGTACACCCCACAGTCCCCCAGTCAGAGCAGCTCCTCTCACCAGCTCGGCCCCAGGTTTCCCTCAGCACAGTCCCAAACTCCAGTTCCTTTGTGGTGCAGGGACACAGAACAGCTCGAGCTGGTGCCCTGGGGGGGACCCTGGACAAAGCCCCCCCAGGCTGTGCCCATCCTGATGCTGATGTTTAGTCCAGGGTCTTCTCAATGTGTCAGGGGAGGTTTAGGTTGGATATTAGGAAAAGGTTCTGGAAGAGGCTCCCCAGGGAAATGGTCATGGCCCCAAGTCTGTCAGAGTTGAAGAACCCCCTCCCAGAACAACCTGCAGCTCACACTGCTGCTGCCAACCTGCACCAGGTGCATTCCTCAACAGGTGAGCAGTTCTCATGCCAGCAAAGTTAAAAAGAGCCCCTGAAGAATTGTAACCTCTGCATACTGAAAAGATTTCCAAAAAGAAAAGGAGCTATAAGATAGGATGGATGAAACAAGCAATGCTACACTGGAAAACAAGTTTATTCTGCTCTCACTGAAATACACTGAGGGAATGTCCTGATCTTTCTCTACCAAAGAGATAACAATCCACTTCTATCAGTACATATTCCAGATTTGAGAACCAGGCCTATACACTTATTTGCAAGTGAGAACTTGGTTAACCGACATTTGTCAATCCACAATGATGTAAATCAAAAGACTGAATGCATTTATATTCCCAGTGGACAGGTCAATGACGGCAAGAAGGCCCAACAGCTCCATTTGGGAAGGCTGACTGAAAAGAGACTGGTAGTTTGCAACATTTCCAAAACAGGCCTTCATTTTACATCCCAAAACCTAAAACTTTAAGACTATGTTCCACTGCACTGCACTTCCTAAAATGACAATTTTTTTAAAATAACCAAATGCTACAGAAGCTTGTTTGAAAAGGCAGCAGACACCTTCTTCTTTGGGTAAGGTGCCCCAAAATTAAAATGCCAAGGGTGCACAAAGCAACAAAGGGAATCATATGTGCTGTGCCTGAATCTTCCACTAATTCTGGAGATGCTCGAATCCACACAGCTTAATACTTCACCACCTGTGCCAGTGACTGCTCAGGCACCCTCAGCCAGGCCAGCATTCCCAGGACTGGACTGAAAAGCTCTCATGAGCATTATTTGCAGAAATGTTGCACTGACCATGACAATCACCTTCTCACAAAAGCACACCAGATCACACAGGTTTAATGGTTCTGGCAACAGACCAACAAAAGCTTTTTCCCAATGACACTCTATACCTCCATCCAGAATTCTAGGAATCACTGCTATTAATTATTTCACTACAAGATGTTTGCTAAGAAGGGAGACCTGTAAGGAGCTGTGGAGACCATGTGAAATGAGAACACTGGCAAGAATTGTCCGTCTTCAACATCAGGCAAGAGGCTTTGTTCACCTTCACCTTGTTCACAGGACTAAAAAGGCACCAGACCACTACTGAGGTCACAAATTCATATGTAGACACTTAAACAGATGCTTACAGAATCCAAAGATAGCTGGGTTGGAAGGAACCTTAGAGACCATTTCATTCCACCCCTTGCATGGCAGGAACACCTTCCACTATTCCAGGCTGCTCCCAGCCCTGTCCAGCCTGGCCTTGGGCACTACCAGGGATGCAGGGGCAGCCCCAGCTGCTCTGGGCACCCTGTGCCAGGGCCTGCCCACCCTGCCAGGGAACAATTCCTGATTGCCAAGATCCCATCCAGCCCTGCCCTCTGGCACTGGGAGCCATTGCCTGGCTCCTGTCCCTGCAGGCCTTGTCCCCAGTCCCTCTGCAGCTCTCCTGGAGCCCCTTCAGGCCCTGCCAGGGGCTCTCAGGTGTCCCTGGAGCCTTCTCTTGTCCAGGTGAGCACCCCCAGCTGTGCCAGGCTGGCTCCAGAGCAGAGGGGCTCCAGCCCTTGCAGCATCTCCGTGCCTCCTCTGGCCTGGCTCCAACAGGTCCATGTCTTTCTTCTGCTGGGGTCTCCAGAGATGGAGGCAGCTCTTCAGGTGGGATGGATGATGGATCAGCTAGTGCAGAACTTAAGATGGGAAATTCTTCCTGGATCAATGATTTGTGTGGCACAGAGCTCATGGCACCTTGACTGGAGCACTGGGAATGGGCCAGAGTGAGCATAGTATGGTCCTTAAACCATGCAGACCTGAAGCCGCTGACCCAGCTACTCACCCAAAATCTCCATCTTTCTTTGCCATGAAGTGCAAGTCAGGATCACCCAGGACACTCTATACAGGAAGGGCTCCAGTGGACAGTGCCTGACAGAGTCCCTGAACTGGTGAAATCTCCTTGTTGGTGGTGTCAGTGGTAAA